CTTTATTTTCATCCTTTGTCTTACTGCGCTAGCTAAAATTTTAAGAAGTATATTGAAAACTCTTATGCACTCTCTAGTTAAAAAAATGATTCATTTCCTCTGCATCACTATGCTACATAAGAAAATGCTGAAATAGGGAGCTGGGATGGAGCTTAGTTGGTAGAGTGCTTGCTTGCATGCACTCAGCCCCGTGTTCCATCCACAGCACCCCAGAAACCTGTGCACCAGCTCATACCCGTAATCCCAGCTGAGACAGGAGGATCAAGAATTGAAGGTCATCCTTGTATACATTGTGGATTCCAGGCCAGCCTGAGCTACATGAGACTCTATCTCAAAAAGAAACCACTGAAAATAAGTAAAAACTTTTTAAGAGTGTGAAAAACAAAATGTATATTAAAGAAGATTGGAGCAAGTGCTTGTCTCACTCTTGATTTCGGATGAAATACTCATGTTTTCCACATTTAGTATGTTGGATTGGTTTGTTGCATGTGCCCTTTGTTTTGAAGAGCATGCTCCTTCCATTCCTAGTTTCTTCAGGGATTTGTCATGAAGGGATGTTGAGCCTTGCCAAAGGCCTTTTCTTCATCTATTAAAAGGATCACGTGATTTCTGTCTCTTGAGTTATTTGTGTGCTATATTACATTTATTGAGTTATTGATTTGTATAAATTGAATTGTCCTTGCATCTCTGGAATAAAACCAACTTGATTATGGTATGGTTTTTAAAACTATGTTGTTGAATTTTACTTGTATATATTTTACTGAGAATTTTTGTCTGTGTTCAGGGAAATTGGTCTGTATTTTTTTTGTGTTTGTCTTCTGTATCTTAATCTGGTTTTGCTGTCTGGGTAGTATTGGCTTCTTAGAGTGAGTTTGATAGTGTTCCTTCCTGTTTTAGTTTCATTTCCTGTTGCTGTGATAATTGGCTCACAATTACCAGCAACAGTGACAGCAACAGCCTATCATTGTGGGGAGTCAAGGTGGCAGGAGGTTGAAGCAGTTCTTCACATCCACAGAAAGAGCAGAGAGCATTTAATGTAATCAAAATAATCCCCCACAGACATGCTCACAGGCCAGCCTAATCTAGACAGTCACTCAGTCAGAGTCCCTTCCCATTTGTGCTGGCTAGCTTTAGTTGTCAAGTTGACATACCTGGGTAGAGGGAGCCTCAGTTGGCGAATTGCTTCCATTGGACTGGCCTGTGGCCATGTCTGTGGAGTATTCCTTGATTATTGAATGATGTGGGAGGGCCAAGCCCATTGTGGGTAGTGCCACCCTTGGGCAGGTGGACCTATGTTGTGTAAGAAGGCAGGTTGAACATGGGGCAAGGGATGTAAGCCATTAAGCAGAGTTCCTTCATGGCCTGTGCTTCAGCTCCTGCCTCCAGGTTCCTGCCCTGAGTTCCTACCTTGGGTTCCCTTGGTGATGAACTGTGAACTGTGACCCAGGAGATATAAGTAGAATAAACCCTTTCCTCCCCAAGTTGGTATTTTGTTGCAGCGATGGAGAAACAAACTAGGACACCTTTCTATTTTGTAGAACAGTTTGGGAAGTATCCATCTTAGCTTTTCTTTAAAGGTCTGGTAGAATCTGGCAGGTCATCTGTCCAGTCTTAGACTTCTCTTTGCTGTAAGACTTTCCTATTGATTCATTCTTTTTGCTCATTATAGATCTGTTTTAGTATTTATTGTCTTTATATTTAATTTTGGTAGGTCATGTGTGTCTTGGAGCTTATCTATTTCTTTTACATTTTCCATTGTTTTGGAATCTTAAGTTTTCAAAGTATTCCCTAGATTTTGTTATTTGTTGCAATATGTCTCTTTTCCTCATTTAATTTAGTTTTCTTCTACTTTGTCTTTTGATTAGTTTGGCTAGCATTTACCTGTAGTGTTTTTCTTCAAGTTTGATGGTTTTATTTAGTTATTCATTTCCTTATTTTTTTTCTTTATTTAAATTGAGCTTTTTAAATTGCATAATTTCCCACTCAAATCCAGACCCCTTCCCAAATCCATGCCTCCTGCTATCCTCCCACCGAACCATATGCACTCTGCCATACATGATGAATCCTGTTCATTCAGGTATTTGTACCCAAGTGTCCTTCAGTGTAAATGTATCCACTGGAGTCTAGTCAGCCCATCCAGTGGTTGTATATGTCATATTCTCCCTCATCAGCAGCAGTCACTCTCAAATAGTCCTCAAATCTAGTGCTGGCCCGCCACCTATTTCTCACCTCCCCTTTGGGCCCTTGTTTAACTGAGCCGACAAGGATCCCACGCTCGACGCCACTGCTGCCACAGGCTCACATGAGCAAGCTTCCAATGGCCTGGAAGCCTCCACCTCTTTATGCTCATGAATCAGCCCTGGCTCTTAAAATCTTTCCGCCTCCTCTTCCACAATGGTCCCTGAGCCATGGATGGGTGAGGTTCCATATAGGAATCCTATTCCACATTCTACAGTCTCCTCTTCTCCAAAATGTGGCCAGCTGTGGCCTTCTGTGTGTATTGCACTCTGATGTATATGGAAGCCTCACTGCTCATAGTTGAGGGGTGCATAAGCCCTCTCTTTATCCCTATTCCCCTTTGTTCCATGAGCCTTAGTTGTAGAGATTCGACTGCAGATGTGTCACCTAGTACTAGGCATCTCCCAGGTGTATGTTTTACTGTGCCTGACCAGATGTGCAACTCTGCAGTAGTCTCCATCTGTTGTGAAAAGAAGCTTCTTTGATGAGTGCTATGAGGTATGTTTGTCACACTAAAGGAGGTCTTTTCTGTCTGGCACTGTGTTCCTTGCCAAGCATCTCCTAGGTATACATAGGACATGCACTAATGTTCAGATACTCTATGTGCCTTACTCATAGGGTTTCTAGGCATCACTTTCCCCTCTAGGTTTCGTACCCACCCTGAGATTCACTCATCTGTACTCTTTTTTCTCCCATCCAGCTTACCTCCTCCCTCCCTCCCTCCCTGGTCACAGTTCCCCCATTATCCCCACCCTCCCTCCAATACCTCCCGACTCCTGCCATCATTCCCCTCCTGACTTCCCTTGCTCCCCCACACCATGATGTGTTGCATGTCCCTCCCTCCTCTCCCCCTTGCCAATTACTCCCACCTTTTCCACCTCCCTCAGGTAACATCTGTTCCCTACTATCCCCATTTCAGGTTGTTTCTTTTCCTTTACCTTCATGTAGCCTTTACCTTTGCCTGGCTCCTGGTGTTACATCAGGAGATTATATATATTCCATCAAAAGTTTATGCCTTTCTTGAGTTCTTTGAGTTGTGTTTTCTTGTAATTCTTTGATCATGTTTATGATTGTTCTTTTAAATTCTGCATCCTGGGGTTTTCTACAGGATGGTTCTCAATGTTGTGCACTTTTGTAGGACTCATGGGTTTTGTTAGGGACATATTTTCCTGTTTTTTTCATATTGTTTGTGTTTTTGTGTTGCCATCAGAGCATATGGATATTCTTTGTTGGTTATATGTTCAGCAGGAACTCTGCTTTTGTTTGATTTTGGTTCTGTTAATATTGTTTATGTAGCTTAGTTACTTTTTGTTTGGGTATGAAAGACAAATTGGTGGGTATTTATAGTTCTTGCTGGGGAGTAGACTGGTCAGAGTCCTAACTGAGCAGGTCTGTGTGCCTGATCCAGAGGTTGGGAATTTGGCAGTGAGGGGACCACCTGGATGAGAACTTAGGGATCTATGGTAGGGTGCTTAGTTAATCTGGTTTGGAAAGCTAGTCCTGAGACTTGAGGTGAAGGAATTGGAACCCCCTGTGAGAGAGGCTGGCAGGGGACTGGGTGGGAGTGGATGAGAGAGATGGGGTAGCTAGTCCTCCTGAGGTGAAGGAATTGGAGCCCACCTGTAAGAGAGGCCAGAAGGGGACAGGGTGGGGGTGGATGAAAGAAATGGTATAGGGAGGCAGTGAGCTTGATTTGACTTCTGAGAGTCCTGGCTGAGCAGGTCTGTCTGCCTGATCCAGAGGCTGGGAATTTGGTGGTTGAGGGGACCACCTGGGTGAGGACTTAGGGATCTATTGTAGAGCGATTGGTTAATCTGGTTTGAGAAGCTAGTCCTGGGACTTGGGGTGAAGGGGATGGGATGGGGATGGATGAGAAAGATGGGGTAGCTAGTCCTCCTGAGGTGAAGGAATTGGAGCCTGCCTGTGAGAGCCGTTTCTGAGAGCCATTTGTTTATTTTTTATATGAGATATTGCCAACTCTCTGTAGCCCATTCTGGCCTCAAACTCTCATACTTTTGTTTTAGCATCTGCAGTTCTAGAACTCCAAGCATTCATCACTACTGTGGCAGGCCTCATAATAGCATTATAGATTATATAATATGAGGTACAGTGTCCTTCCTACCAATCTTTTTATTCGAGTTTGTATAATTCTGTAAATAATTTCAGTTATAGAAGTTCTGTGTTTTTTTTTTATTTTCCAGGTTTTTTGGTGGTGGTGGGAGTGGTTTTACTGAGATTGCTTAGTTTTATATTCATTGCAAGTATGGTTATAAATGCGGCTTTAAAATCTTTGTCTGCTAATTCTAACATTTGGTGTACCTTAAAGTTAATCTATATTCACTACTTTTCTTTTCTTTATCTTGTCCTGCCCCAAAGAATGGAGCATATTTTATGTATTTGTTTGTATATCTAGTATTAAAAAAAAAATGTATCCTAGGCCAGGCATGGTGGCACATGCTTTTAAGCCCAGCATGCAGGCAGAATTTTGTGACTTCAAGGCCAGCCTGATCTACATAGAATATTCTGGGCAGGCAGGGGTACATAGTGAGACCCTATCTGAAAAAAAAAATCCTAGGCATGGTAAATATTTTATTGGAAATATTGCTATATTTGCCTGAATAATATGTTTTAAAATATTTGTTTTAGTAGGATACTAACTTGGTTGGATTGAAGTTGCAGAAGTTCTGTTTATAGGGACATTTATTTGTATTTTAAATATAGGACATACTGTAAGTATATTTAATGAAACCTGTTTGTTATAGGTCCAGGTCAAGACCTCGCCCACGTTCCCATAGTCGAAGCAGTGAAAGGTCCAGTCACAGAAGAACTCGTAGTCGGTCTCGAGATAGAGAACGACGTAAAGGCCGAGAGAAGGAGAAAAGGGAGAAGGAGAAGGGCAGGGAGTTACACAACCTTAAACGTGGGTAAGTCAAGCGGACCTAGCAGAGTGCAGATTCAGTGATTACAGAGCGGTATTCAAACTAAACCTTTTCTCTTGAGGGCAAATTGCTATAAAAATAAAGGAAGATAAGGGCTTGCCAGTATCTAATAACAACATGTAGCTCTTCTTTTCTGCTTCATAGTTGTCTCAGTGATTAACATTAAAAAAGATTTATTTTATTTTTAATTATGTATATGTGTTTGTCTACATGGGGTTATGTGCACATGAGTACAGGTGCCCATGGAGGCCAGAAAGCCTTGGATTCCTTGGAGCTAGAGTTACAGGTGATTGTGAGCTTCTATGTGGGTACTGAGAACTGAACTTGGGTCCTCTGCAAGAACAATTAAGTGTTCTTAACTTCTGAGCATCTCTCCAGCTTCTCTGTGCTTAACTTTTATTTCCACATTTGCAGTGATGTTCTATAAATCTGCCTAGGTTGTTGGCATTTAAAATTCTTTGAAATGTTAAACTGGTGGTGGAAGTTTGAAAGAGGATTAAATTACTATGAAATTTTTGTTCTTGTCCTTCCCACAGCCATTAATGTACATTGAGCAGTTATATCATTTAAAAATACCCAGTTCTGTCCTTTCCTAAAGTGTTGAGTGCTACAGGACAGGAGATAGGGGTTAGGTATTGTGTGCTTTTCTCATGGCTGTGACAAAATACTCAACAAAAGCAACTTCAGGAAGGAGGGACTTTTTTGTTCACTGTCCATCAATGCAGAAGTCATGGTGGCATGAGACATCTGGTCACACTGCATTTGTACTCAGGAAGCAAATAGAGATGATTGCTGATTCTTGGCTCTTTTTCTCCTTTTTATTCAGTTTGGGACCCCCACCTGTAGAATGGTGTTGCTCACATTTAGAGTAGGTCTTCCCACCTCAAGTAACTCAATGTATAGATTCCCTTAGCAGCACACACAGAGGTTAGTCTCTTAGGTGATTCTAGATCCTGTCAAGTTGATAGTCAGTATTAACCATCACATCTCAGGCATATAGCTATCAGGAGAGAGAGGCTGAGGTAGCCAGAGATGGCACACTTGAATGACAGTCAAGAAAAATATGGGGGTAATTCTTGGTAAAGGGAAAAAGTCGGTGTGATAGATTTGAAGGGAAAATACAGAGTAAGTTTCAAAGACTAGAAAGCACAGATTAAGAGAGTGACTAAAATATGTCAATTGTGAAACAACCTTGTTCCTTGGTTCTTTATAACATTTTTTCTTACATTTAGCTTTAATTATATAACTATAAGGAGTATGCTATGTTTTGTTTTGTATTCTTTTAAAACTGATTATTAAATGTTTGCTTTCCATTTCTTTTTCTTAAATTTTATTTGCTATTTTTATTTTATGTGTATGCGTGCATTGCCTGCATGTAGGTAAGTGCACCCATATCATGCAATATCCATGGAGGACAGAAGAGGCTGTTGGATCCCTTGGGAATGGAGTTACAGACAGTTGTTAGCTGCCGTGTGGGTGCTGGGATTTGAACCCAGCTCTTCTACAAGAACAACCAGTGTTCTTAACTGCTAAGCCATCTCTCCAGCCCCCCATTTCTTTTTTTTTTTAAATTAACTTTTTTAGTATTAGGAATTCTCTTAAGCAATTGGCCTATACTATCTTATTTAGTACGCTCGTGAAATAGGTGCCTTTATCCTCTCTCTGTAACTCATTGTTGTTGTTCTTACTGTTTCAAAATACCTGAGGAAATGAATTTAAAGGAGGAAAAGTTTTGTTTGGGCTCATGGTTTCAGTTTGTGGTTGACTGTCTACATTGCTTGTTAGGTCCATGGGAAGGTAGAAATACGGTAGAAGTGTGTGGTCTAGGAAATTTCAAGCCTGATGGCAATCAGGAAGGAGAGAGGGAAGGAGGAGGAAGAAGAAGAGGAGGAGGATGATGATGAAGAGGATGAAGAGAAGGAGGAGGAGATGAGAGAGGAGAGAAGAGAGAGGAGAAGATAGAGGAGAGAGAGAAAAAAGGTGTAAAAGGCAAGCCCTCAGTGACCTCCTTCCCACAGCAGGTCATACCTCCTACTTAGCCCATTCAGTAGGAACTCACCAGAGGATTAACCCATTGTCAAGTTTGGTTTCTAATTCAAACCAACTGTGCCTTTGCTCATAAGAGCATGCATCTTCATGGTTGTAGTACTTCATAATTACTGATACTGAGAATTAGGGGTTGAGATCAAATGATATACTATGCTGAAACTTTAGTAGAAAATAACTACAGAAGAAAATGAATTTTGTTTTGTTTTTCCTGTCATTAGCAAAAGGATCTTCCATTTCTTTCTCTCTCTTCCTTCCTTTTCCCTCCTCAGCATTTCATCTGGTTATGTAATTTTGTGCTTACTGATATTCACAAGTCATCTCTAGGTTGTCTTTAAGTTTTAGTGATGGCTTAGTAGCTATCTTTTTCCAGGGGACTTTAAAATGTGTTGGTGGAGAGAGGAAAAAAATACAAAAATTTTAATTAAGATTGATGTATTAGTCCATTTTGGTTATATAATCAATGATAAAAGATTAGCTTGTGCTAAATAATAACCCAGATGCTTCTTCATATGAGAAAATAACCCACATGCATATGTTTCTTCATGCATAAGAATCTTAGTATTATCAACCCAGTTTGAAAATATGTATTGTACACTTTTTGGTTGGACCTAAAGCACGCATCTATGAAGCACAGAGCAGAAAGAGTAGCAAAGCAATGCAGTTTTACCATTAAATAAATACATTTATAAACTGGAGAGAAAGGAATGTGTAAATGGGAATTAATGTGCTTTTCCATTAAGGAGGCTTTTTATTTAGGCTTTTAAGATAACATAATATAGCAGGGGGTGGTGGCATGCCCATTTAATTCCAGTGCTCAGGAGGCAGAGGCAGGCTGATCTTTGTGAGATTGAGACCAGTCTCTACCTAGCGACTTTCAGGCCAGCTGGGGCTACAGGAAACCCTGTCTCCAATAAATCAATAAAACACACCAACAAAACAAAAAGGATAAAAAGATGTAAAATAGTTCTGAAGTCACATTTTAAAATGGCAAATATTAATAGCTCTGAAAACCAGGAATATTTGAATTATCATAATATGAATTTGCCTTATAATGTTTAAGTTGATGTTCTCATTTTGTTGATCTACTTTGTTAATGTACTGATTTAAAGAACCTAATAGAAACTGAAAGTGTATCAGGAGCTTGTGGGGACTAAACGGTAGGTCCCTTTTCTTATAACATGTTGTGAGTGATTGATATGAGAAAGACACTGGCCTTATCTTAGATTTTATTAAGATACAATGACATTAACTTTTAATAGTTTATGTCGATAAAATTTGGTTTCTAAGAAATTTTTAATGATTTATTTATTTTTTATTTTATGTGTATCAGTGTTTTGCCTAATGTATTTATGTGCATTATGTGCATTCCTGGTGCCTGTAGATGCTGGAAGAGTGCATCAGATCCTGTGCAAGTGGAATCCATGTAGGTGCTGGGAATTGAACCCTGATTCTTTGCAAGAGCAGCAAGTGCGTTAACCACCTAGTCATTGCCCCAGCCCCTGCTAGTTTCTAAGAATATCTAATCTCTTGCACATTGATATTTTTTTCTTTCCATTCATTTTTCTTCCTTAAATAGCTTTAGACAGTTGTTTCTCTTTTTATCATCATCATCATCATCATCATTTTTTTTTTTTTTAATCTTGTGTGTGAGTGTATTTACATTCCTTCTTGTTTGTCAGTACACCCATATCATGCAATGCCTGTGGAGGTCAGAAGAGGGTATCAGATCCTGGAACTGGAGGTATGGATAGTTAGCCATCATGTGTTGGGGATCTTAACCGCTGAGCTATCTCTTCAACCCCACAGTTGTGTTTCTTATAAGGTAAAATTTCTGTAACATTAAAACAGATTTTTCTTAACATAATTATTAAATTGAAATGAGAGACTTAGCATTATTTTGCCAAACAAACTATTATTGAGAGTCAATAATCAGAAATTTGAAATGTCATGGGGTCTTATACTTGCAAGTTGGTGTGATGATGGCAAGCATTGAAAACCCCAGCTGCCTCATTTGTGGATTAGTACAGCATTAGGTTTGTTCAACCACATCTTGATCCACATACAATACTGTACGTCAACAACTTAAGAGCATCTTTTGGAGAGTTTTAGAAAATTAGTTGTGAATGAATATGTACATTTCCCCAGTAACATTCTACTATCTGAAATCATAGTGCCATCTTCAAGAGCAGAATTTAAATGGATTTAATTTAAATCCATCTTCAAACATTTAGTTCCCTATTTAGAAAACAAATTATCTTTGTAGTAGTTGTTGTATAGTGGTGTATTTTGAATGTGTTATCTTCCCAGCCCAGTAAATTCATGGCTATATATGTGATGATTCAGTATAGTAGTACTGGAGCATATAGACCAGGCTGGCCTTGAACTCACAAGGGATCCTCCTGTCTCTGCTTCTTTAGTGCTATGTTTAATGGCAAATGCCACCATGCCCAGCCTGGGACATGAGATCTTTAAGGGGTGATTAAATCAAGAAGACTTTGCCCTCTTGAATGGGTTAACACTGTATGGCAGAATTGGGTCTGTTACTGAAGTAGTAGATTCTTTGTAGAAGGATTGTCTTGACTTCTTCTTGCCTTTGCCATGAGATAACAAAGAAGGCCCTGACTAGATGTCACTCCTCCACGTTCAACTGCCTGGCTTCCAAACTGTATGTTAGTAAATTTCTGTTACTTTAAGCTGTCAAGTACTCTATTACACACACAAAAAATAGACTCAGACACTTACCAAAATGTTTTCCCGTTAATTTGAGTAATGTTAGAATTTATGAGGAATGTACATTAGTTTTCTTAAGTATGCACTCCTTTATGGCCTGCTACCATGAAGGGTTTTCACCATTACTTGGTTGCTAGGTTTTCAGAGACAGATGTCCTAAAAAGCACTTAGCATTAGTGCTAAGAAATACTGAGAAGCTCTCAAGC